GGGGGGGGGGGGAGACAAGGGAAGATGTTGTGGTGCAGTGGGGGTCATGGGGCATCACCCCACTCCTCAGACATAGCCTTGGGCCCCCCTCCTGTACTAGCCCTTTTCTTCACAAGGGGTTAGGGGACTATGTAGAGGTTGGTAGAAAAGGAAGCATGGTTACTTAGGGCAGTGATTTTCAACTGGTGTGCCCTGGCAGGCACACTGCTGTGCAAAGAATTTCAGTGATTCGTTTATGTGCCATGAGATGAAAAAGGTTGAAAATCGTTGACTTAGGGGGTTTTTGGTGTTTTGTTTTGTTTTTTCTTTTTTCTTTTTGAGACAGAAGTGTTGTTTTAGGAAAAGTCAGGAAACTTCGGTTCTAATTCTAGCTCAGAAGTTCTTTATGAGAAGGTTCTGGGGCAGGAAGGAGCCTAATCTTAGAGAAACTGAAAGAAAAACGAAGGGGCTGAGTGAGGATGGGACAGAGTAAAAGAGAAAGAGGGCTGAAGAGGTGGGAGGGGCCAGTGGCACTAGGATTTGTGATTTTTATTTCTTGATAAGTACAGTAAGAGACTACTGAAGTTTTCTAAGCAAGGTGATGAGATGACTAGGTTTGGTTTTAGGAGCTTATTCATTTTGCTTTATGGAGAATCAAAGGTAGGGAGAGCGTTTTCTTCATTTTTGTATAAAAAAGTAAATAACCCAGAGATGGATGCATAGAATATATTCAATAAATGCCTTTTTCATTAAAAAGAAACACTGACAATATGTGTAATGTTATTCTACCTGGTAAAGAAAAGAAAAGGATAATAAAAGCCAATAGGCATAGGGAATAAACATTAATTTTCTACAGGTGATAGATAGCTTTAGACATGATTGCTGTTTTCTGTATTTTTTATAATGCACATCTGTTCCTTTAGTAATCAGGAAAAAATTTAGGTATGACTTTATAATTTCACTTGTTTTATAATAAGATGTATCTACTTAAGTCAACTGATTGAAAGATAGAAACATAATTTATCTACAGTTTTTGTAGGTTTTTAGATGGGCAGAGCAGGCCATAGCAAACAATGTTAACCAATTATTTTTATGAGTTTGACTAGTAACTTTTTTCTTAGTAACACAATTTCTACAGGGGGAAAAGAAAGCAATTGGAGCAAATAACTCACTCCCCATACTACTTTTACACTCCTGCCTTACTACTCCTTTAATCAAAAGACAAAAAGCGTTTCTATAATCTGAATTACTTAATTATTTTTAATTTGCCTTCTACATTTTATGTATAGACTATAAAAAAGGCAAAAATTATTACTTGATAGTAATGTATTTAGGTGATACAATGTAGAATTTTGATATACTAAACAAAATTATCCGTTGTTTTGATGATTCTCCTAAACTTTAAAGAAAATATTTTTAAAAACACATTAAGAAAAAAATGTTTGAGACATATAGTCTTTTATTCTCCCATAATCTATGAACTATATCTTTTTTATGACTATTATCTCACAGAGGAAAACACCAAGTCTTTAACTAGATAAAAAATTTGGAAGATATGTGCATGTTATTTTACAGTTCTCTGTTTTTGTTCTGTTTAAATATAACATCAGTGCTTAGCTCTTGCCGGCATACTTCTTTTTTATTTTCTACCTTCTTTCAACACATCTGAGTGTATACCCAGGTACAGCTTGCAGATTTATGATCACTAATATGTGACTTGTCATCACTACTGACTCTGGCCATTGATGCCGTCCATTCTGCAGAGGGCCCTTGCCTTGTCCACACAATTACTGGAGACTTGCTGAGAGCCCTTGAAGGACCAGAAAACTGCTTGTTCCCACGCTTGATTTCTGTCTCCAGTGAAGGCCACTGTATCATATACTATGAACGAGGGCGATTCAGCAATTTCAGCATTAATGGGAAGCTTTTGGCTCAAATGGAGATCAATGATTCAACACGGGTAAATCTGCATGCTTCGTGCTAAATAGAAACTAAAGCCAACAGATTAAATATTGACTATTCTAAGTGATTTGTAATAAGTGATTCATAATAGAATTTCTCTGGTATTCAATAAAATGTATGCTGGTTTTAAAAGCATATAAATTCATATAGATGGATTCTTTGAACAAACCCAAAATTCATTTAATCCCAAGTAATTAATTCAGTGAATTAGACTTTGCAGATCATAACTATTATTTGATTGGAGGTTAGACCCTTGAGATTTTTCTTAAACTACTTTTACAAACAATTGTGTCAGTGCTGTACCCCCTGACATTAAAAGTGAGTTTTTATAAAAAGAATCTTACCTTCAGAACCCTAGACCAAATTTACACGTACCAAATTACCCTTCACTCACAAATGAATTGTAATCATTTGTTTATCATTATTAAAAACTGTATTGAAATATGCTTCTGCCATTTGTTTTAAAAGTCTTGACATTGTTAATGTTCAGGACTTAACAAAGCATCATGTTACTTCATTCTCAAGTTCTTCCTGGATTAGATTGATAATATTCTCTTTGAGACTTGATAATAATATTCTCTTTGAGACTTCTGTTATTTTGTAACATAAATTGCTTTTAATAAGATCTTTTGTTTATGTAATAACTTTGATGAATCCCACATTGGAAATTCCATGGATCAGACTTTAGAAAACTTGGACCAATGGCTAAAATTAGATAATAACTACAAGGGAACTGTATTGAGTGCTTTTCAGTAGTGACCGTTTATTGGGAAACACTGGGAGAAATGGTTGTTTTTCTGCCTTTTCTGAAGGCAATTCTCCTAAGCAGTGATGGCCAGAATCTGGTGACCGGAGGGGACAATGGTGTGGTGGAGGTCTGGCAGGCCTGTGACTTCAAGCAGCTGTACATTTACCCCGGATGTGACGCTGGCATTAGAGCAATGGATTTATCCCACGACCAGAGGTGAGCCACAAGGGGAAGTGTAATCACTTGAGAACTGCCATGGAAGGTTCTTTAATTGTACCAAGGGTGAAATGTGCTGTGAATGAGATTCCAGCATCCAGATGGAAGAAAGACTAGTAGAGAAAATGGTAAATTGAGGAGAAGAGTAAGTACTGTAATAAAGGATTCTGGCAAAAGGAAAACGGAGGAAGACACAAAGAAAACAAAGAACAAAGGGGGTCTGAAGAACAGGCATATCCAGACACTGCCCAGAACAGAATTATCCCACCAGTCCCTCTGTTCTCACGCCCTCCCCTACGCTCACATGGTGTGAAGGAGACAGTTCAGCAGAGGTGAGCCTCAGCTTGAAGCATACTTCCTGCTAACCAATTTCCAGAAAAACCCAGTGTAGACTACAGTTGGTGCCTGCTTTAAAAGGTGCAAGGCACTCACTCATTACTCAAAACAAACCCCATCTCCATTTTCTTATTTATATATTTCTCAATTATGTTATTTTGAATTTTCTGTGTTTCCCTGAGACACTGTAATCTTTTCTTAATTAATATGATTTTTCATTGTTCCTCAGTTTGCAACAGGGTTTTGCTATTTCCTAAAATTTACCTTTGGGTTTATTGTAAAGTGAAAAGACTATTTAGAATGTAAAGTCTTAAAATTTCTAACTTTTAGAAATAAATTAAAATTATATAATTTTAATATAGTATGTAATTTCTCATGTATTGCTATATACAAGGTAGGGCAAAAGTAGGTTTACAGTTGTGAGTATGTGAAAGTTTATTCTTATTATTTATTTATTATTGTATTATTTTCCATACAAACAATTGTAAACCTATTTTTGCCCCACCCTGTATTTAACAGAAAAAAAGAAAAGCTTATTAACCAACTTTTTTCAACTATATGTATATTCTTTATAAGAATATTGGTTTTAAAATATTATAAATATTGAAGCTTATGTAATAAATTTAGCAAAGGATCTTTATAATATAGTAAAATGTACTGTAGTCATCAAGAAAAACAATGTGATTTACTTTAGTTTGGGAAAGGGATATTTCATTTGCAGCTCAGCCTCTTTTTGAAAAATATTTAAGCAGATTATCATTAGATTGTTCTAAGATGTTGTAGTCTATATTAACAAATAAACACAAATGGTTTACTGGGTATTTACTTGTATATACAGGGGTGTGTCCTTAAGTAGTTGAACTATTCTCTCTGGTATTCTTACTCATTCATTGTGTATTCAGCTTGCAAACATTTGCTGCCACCATCGTAGATTAAACAGGATACAACACATAAGATTACTGACCCCAAAGAGCTCAAATAATCATAATAATTGTATGCGAGGGAAGCAGGGACAGAATAAGAGACCTGACTCTCCTTGAGGGGTGGGGAGGGCAGGAATGGCTTTCCCTAGGCGTGGGAGGAGGGTCTTTCAGCGAGTATAGGCAAAGTCACAGTCGTGTCAGAGGTCACCGAAGAGGAGTGAAGATGGATACTAATCAAGTTTCTGTGTCCTGATAAAAAACAAGAGTAACCTCCTTGTTTCATCCTTAATTTCAGTTATTTTTGTGTTATATAATAATTCCCTGATTTGTTCGACCTGTAGCACATGCACATAAGTTATAAATTGATAAACATATATTGAGGTTGTGTACTGCAAAGTGCTTATCTGATAAGATGTCCTATCGAGCGTTAAGCATCACTCTGGCAGTTCAGGTATGTGGGGTGGATTCAGCTTCACTCAGGAGAGCCAACAATGTATTTTAATCCTATCTCAGTGAACATTGGGTGTGCTGAATTTTGAGATCATGATCATGTCTAGTGTAAAGTAGCAATCACATCAGTGATTTGTGTCACTATTAATTCTGTCTCTGCTTTCCCAGGACTCTGATCACTGGCATGGCTTCTGGTAGCATTGTAGCTTTTAATATAGATTTTAATCGGTGGCATTATGAACACCAGAACAGATACTGAAGACAAATGAAGAACCAAAAGCCAAGTTAAAGCTGAGAGCACAAGTGCTGCATGGAAAGGCAATATCTCTGGTGGAAAAACTCGTCTCCATCACCTCGGTTTGTGCATTCCATCACATCCAGCAATAGCTGTACATTGTAGTCAGCAGCCGTTTTACTTTGTGTATTTTTTCATGACTGAATACCAGCTGCTACCAAGCAAGCTTATATCATGTAAATTATATGAATTAGGAAATGTTTTGGTAATTATTTCATATATTGTGGTTAATTGAGGAAAGGTAGTAGGACGCACAAGAGACTTTTGACAATTCTGAGGAACGTTGTGTCCAGTCGTTTCAAAGTTTAAGCTTTGAACCTAATCTGCATCCCATTTCCAGCCTCTTTTCAAGCTGAGGAAAAAAATAAAACATGTTTGATACTTTGTACATCAGATACATCTTATTTAAAGGGATACTTTTGTAAAAGTAAAACCTTGTATAAAAAACAAAATGTTTCTTAATTTTATTGTGGAGTTACAACTTGCATGCTCTTTAATCCTGATGTCTTGATGGAACAGGTGCATCCACACTATGAAACAGAAAGATCTGTCCAAGGACAGCTCGTATGAAATGGTTGTATTTGGGCTCAATCGGTAATTTTTGACATTTTCACTAAAAAGTCTCCACTTTTTAATCTAAATTCATCCCTTATAAGTGAATTTGCTCATAAAGCATTTGGATACTAAGCCATTATTTGCCATTTTTGGTACTTTATACAAAGAAAATTCAGCCCCACCCATCATGATTTGAAGACACAGCAGAAAGGGAGCTTAGGGATGAGGTCTGGGTTTTTGTATAAATAGGAGTCACACTCATTCGTTCTATAGTAATGACTCCCTAACTCCTGGACATTTCTTCCAGAGTCATCTGCTGGCTTAGTATGTGTATATTAGGGGAAGAGAATCTGATGCTTTGTTGTTTGTTGTTGCTGTTTTGTTTTTCTCTTTGGTTCTTGAATAGCTTAGTTTCTTTAATAACAAGTCTGACTTAACCATAACAATAACTAAAGTTATTGTTTTAGGTTTTTGTGAAATTCTCACCTGAAGATACATTCTTAGCCTAGAGCACTTCATCTTTTATGATATAAAGTTATGGCTATCAGATGATTTTCCATACATTGTACTGATCAAGTTATACACCCAGGGGTATATACACTTTATTTATGTTTTTTCTTTGTATATTTGGTGACTGTATTGTCATAGATGTACATATTGTGTCGGTAGGGCTATGAGGCATGTTACAGGAATGTAATTTTCTCAGAATTTATACTCACTTGCAGTCATTTATTTAAAAAGATAAATTAAGATAATGGGTTCTTTCTATTGGCACTTTGCACCAGAAACATATCATTATTTATTGATATGTTATTTGTGATTATAATATATGTGATTACTTATTTGTTATTCACCTGTACTAGTAAGTTTTAGCACTGAATTCCTTCTTCATCGTTGTTTGTATTTATGAGATTCTAAAATTCTGGGAATCAGCATAATGATTAAGTTATTCATCATCAAGCTGTAAGCAATATCTTGAGTTTGTAGCTTAGAATCAGGAGGACACGGAACATCTGGAAGACAAGCTCATTTCATCTTGAGATCATGGTGAAATATTTTGGATATATAAATTCCTTAAGCTATTGTAACCATGTTTTATTGCAAAGATGTAAAATATGCCAGATGTGTGTGAGTTGGAAATCAACAAATGAAAAATAAAATATACAAAGAATTTACTGATTGCTTTACATTTCATTGGACACTTCACTTACATGCATTCATTATGTTGTCATACAAGTTTAAGAAATGAACATCACATTGTATAAAAGCCTACAGCACCTAAAACATGAAATCGGGTCCTAATGAGGTTCTGTCATTTGCTGAAACATGAGCCTCTCTGCTTGGCCATCTGGCAGGGATTTGAGGCAACAGTGACTGGAGGAAAACCACCCTTGTTTCTTCTACATAATCCACTTTGGGGGTTGTTTTTTTATTATTTTTTAAAGGAACTAAATGCAGGTGATAGTAAAGGGTATAATTGCTCATTACATGAATATTATCAGACAATGCTATTTTCATTTGAACCACACTTTCTAGAATTTCTCATCCACCAGTCATGACACAGGCAGAGACTGGCAGACCTGGGGGACCGGGGTCTGCGGCAGGAACCCTGCTGAGGGACTTCTGTAATTCAAATCGGTTTGGGCAATGGGGGCAGCTACCCAAACAGTCCTAGGGAGTGACAAAACTGAAAGTAAGCTGTCATCTGGACAAAAGGAACAGAACCAACAGTAGCCCCAAAGAGGCTTGCTACTATCACTCTACATCCTGTCTCCACACCAGATTTCTGTCAGTCATCTTAAGCCCGCTGGCTCCCTAAACCCAGCCCTTCTTGCAGCCCATTAGTCATTCAGTCAGGCTGGTTGCTACCTAAAGATTTCTTTAAATCAGTACACACCCCTTCCAGAACTATCATCTGGACTGTCACCAAAATCTTGACCAGTATCTGAATCTCACATCAGACCTCTCCCAACATAGTCGACCCTGCTGCCAGAGGGTCAGACTACACCACCAACCCAGTCATTTCCTTGCTGAGCACCCTGCAATGGTTTCCCCATATTATTAAACTCTAGTGGGTGAAAAATTGCTTGGGAGTTTTTGTTAAGAGCAGAATCTAGGCTCCCATGCCTTCAGGTGATTCTGAGGTGAGTCAACCTTGAGCATATTTTCAACAACATTAATGTGAGGAATTAAGTCCAAACTCAGTAGATCTCAGAAGTGAAGAGGGAAACATTCTCGTCTGTCCCCCTGATATCCTCACCTCAGGCAAACCCACCTATTTACGAGTCCCTGAGAACTCCCCTGTCCTTGGTCTCTAGTGTCCTCCCTGCCTAGAGAGCTCCTCTTTGCCTGCACTATTTAGTTGAACTCCTTGGGGTAAATTGACCTAAACCAATTTGGTCATGCACAATCTTTTTGGCAGGTAAAGGGAGCCCCTAAATTCTGTGATGATGAAAACAATTTTTCAAGACTAATTTCTGCCACATGTGAATATCTTTTCATCAAACACGTTTTAGCAAGTAACCATAAAACCTCTCTTCTGTGAGCTTGGTAAGTCCAGTGCCTTTTGAGGTGATCTGATCATCATTTCCCCTAGAAGATATGCCAGAGAGACACACCAATATTAGAGAAGCAGGATCCCATTAGTCTTGTAATGTCACCAGCAACCAGAATCCTCCAACCCTTTATTTAGGTATCAAACCTTGGGCACAATGCTAAAGATACTATAAGCCAAAGGCCACAGTAGATTTGTATACTCTAATTATTGACTGCTAGAAAAGGCTTCTGAAATACAGCAGCCAGTGTATACTGAATTCACATATAGGGTGTCCCCCCAAAATGTATACACACTTTAATAGTTGGTAGCTCAATTTTGAAAATGAAGTGTATTTTAATAAACACTGCCTTTATAATTATTCAAAGTGTGTGCATACATTTTGGAGAACATCCTATATATTAAATACCACTAACTTCATCAATGAAAGACCATTGGCATCCTTCATTATGCTAATTAAGAAGCCAATAATTACCCCACCACAAAGCTATTCTTAGTATTCACTATTCTGACTAATAAAACTTCTGGTTTCCTTTGTTTTAAGGAAGCTGGAGTTCTGGGCTTCATATTTACATTGAGATCTTTCTGATTTAACAATCTGGAGTATCAGTTTCTGATCAGGGCTACTGACTGACCACTAGAATTCAGTCCAAATCAGCACATACTATCACCTTGTCGATACTGGGTATTTTAAAGTAAATTAAGACATCATAGCACTTCTACTCATTGCTATAGACTCAGCTCAAGTGTTTCTTCCTCTGTGAGGCCTCGCCTGCCCACTGGGTTAGCTTTTTCACACCTATAGCCCTGTAACCGCACTGAGTAGTATATTGTCATAGCATACTTTCCCCTCCTTCCTGGTGACTGTGAGATTCTTGGGCAATGGGAATTTTTATCTTGTATCCTTAAGACAGTGTTGGATTCAGAGTAGACTGTCAATAAACTTAGTTTTGCTGAATGTGTGGATAAGTAGATAAATACCAGACACCTGGGTAAAGGTGACAAAGTTGGCTGGGATGCTCAGGAGCCCACCCAGCTCCCTCTTCCCACTGCCCTTGAGGCCCCGAAGCCTTAGGTTGCCCTCTCCCACCCAGCACTGTGGTACCTCCAGAGAGCACCATGTTCCAAATACCTCCACAGGCATGGCCGTTTACCAGCCAGGTTCAAGAAAGCACTGATAATCGTATAGCAATCCCATAGCTACAAAAGAAGGAGTGAATTACTGCTCTTTACCCACAGTCATCCACTGGAAGAAATGGGAATTGACACAGGATTTGGGGTAGGAGCTTCTCGGGTTCTGGCTCCTCTCTCTGGAAGGAACTTGTTAGTTCCCTCATCAGTTAAAATGGGGATGATGATGTCTACAGTAAATGTTTTGGGGATAAAAATTCATAGCACACATCCAGCACCTTGTGGAGCGCCTGGCTCTCAGCAGAGTTCAGCAGATGGTCACTGCCTTCCACATCTCATGGACATGTTTCATTTTCTTCTGCTTGGCAATCCTCTCCCTAGTTATCTGCTATGCATCTTTGGGGAAAAAAAACTTTTTCACTCTTTCCTGTCATGTAATTTACTGGGGCCAGATCCCTGGGACCTCTTGGACTCAGGCCTGTCCAACCATGTGACCTCCATTCTGGAGACTTCAGTAGTTGGTCAGGGGTAAGTCCACCAGAGCCTTTCCCTGAAATTGTTATATTCTGAAGTGAGGGAGAGAAGTCTTTTCCTTCTCTGGTGTAACAATCTGTCACTAAGAAACCAGCGTCTGCTAGCAATCATGTTTCCCATTGAGCAGAGAAAGCCTGTTTACAATAGTTGAGAATAAAGCCATAAGAAATGAAACAACATTTGTCTGAGGCTCAGTTTTTTAGGTGTATGATAGATAGAGCCCTTGTGCAGACTTCATGCTTTGCAAATCATGAGGCACTCCGTAACTGTGAGCCATCACCACTGAACAAGAACATCTCAGGCACCAGGTCAGGTGCATTCAGGACATGGCCAAAACTTACAAGGAGGGGCAGGGGATCTTTTTTGATGGATTCTAAGCTCTCTGTGAGAAAAGCTGAGCCTGCAGCTTATTGCTACCACATGTAGACACAAATTAGGATTTCAACTCTGTTTAGCACCTAGTAAGAAAGAAAGATTTTGTTTGATTTAATTCTGTTCTTTTGTAATGCCTCTTCTCAGTCAGCACAGAAACAAAACAGGAAGCTACTCAATGCCACTGGGAGAGCTAGCTTCTTACAGGGCCTTCTCAGAACCATCATTCTTCTGGATAATGTTTTTTCTGTTTGTGTCCACAGCCCAAATCCTGGTAGGGAAAGCTGTGGTTAAATGCTTGGATGCCTCTGTATAGACTTTTCTCCTCTCTGGAGGCCAGAGATTCCCATAGGAACCAAGGGGCTTCTGCTATTGCAGGGAGGTTGTGGGGGCTCTAGGCTTGGCAGGTCTGAGACAACACTTTTAATTAGAAGGTAACTACAGGAAGATCGAGTTTTCCATGCCAGCAGAGGGCTGGGAATGGCAGGCCATGAGCCTGAGGAGAGAAACCTTCAGCCCAATGTTCTTGAAAGGCTGCAAAGTCCACCTGGTCCATCTTCTTTGTCCTACTAGGAGGCTGATGGCCAGAGAGGTGATGACCCCTGTCTGTCTCGGTCAGCCACAAGGGCAGTAAGTGACAGGGTTCCCATCCTGCTCCCCTGCCTTTTATCCAACACTTAGAACAGCCAGAGATGCATGGGACAAGGCTGGAGATTGGGAACCCTTGATGGGGCTGAAAGAGGAGGGGCAGAGTTTGGCGTGAGAAAGGCCTTGGGTATGTACTGCCATGGTCCATCCCCACCATGGGCCTTCTGTGTCCATGTAATTACACTAGTTCTTCCCAAGCTTGATCTGAAGCCCAGGATGAAGATGCCATTGGTCTAAAGTAAAACTAGACAAATATAGACCAAAGACTGATCTTGTTCTAAAGCTGACATGGCTCAATTATTTTTATTTTGACATTATGCCTTTTGTGTGTGTGTGACATATTTCCTTTCTAATGAAGTTATGGAAACCATAAACAATCATTTTTCATGTATTTTTTGATAAAATAAAATCAATGCCTGAAATATTTTTGAAATGTTGCTGGTTCCTGAAATCACCCTCGACTTAGACCAGGCATCTGCCTTCAGGAGCAGAGTGGCCCCAAGTCCTGGAAAAGGAGGTCCCAAGGCCCAGAGGCTAAAGTTGAGGATGAGCCAAAGATACTGTGCTTCTGCCCAGGATGAAACCAAACCAAACCAAACTAAGGCTTCCTCTCTGAACAGTTGGTTAAATCGCACTGAGATCCAAATATATGCCTACCTAATGAAGCAGGAAGCTGTTGGCTCAGCCTTGCACCCTGCTGCTCCTGTGAAAGCCTCCCTGTATGCCCAGCCTTGTCCAGCCTTGTGAGGCATGAAGGGGGCTTGCAGAGTTTGGAAGTAAGAAGGGACAAGTACCCAAAAGAGAAGGAGCCCCAAGGGCCTTGGTGAGGGTGGTCTTCCCTCCACTGACCAGGCTTCTTACCTACAACCAAAGAAAAGCAGTTTCAGGTAATTAAAACAGAAAACTGATTTATTGGCAGGGTATTGGAAAGCCTCTT